CACAATGATCTGAAAACTATGAAGGGAGTGCTTCCATGGTAAAATCCTTGAAATGCTCAATCCACTCAAGATTAACCAGACCTCGATCTAATCTTCTAGCAATAGGTTGATTAGCCTGCATGTTAGTCCATGTGAATTGCAGCCCTGTAGTTCTATAATCCACCAACTCCATCTCCCCAATCCAGTTATTAAAATCATTCATGCTCTGGGTAGATGACCGTTGGTTAGAGGTCTCTTGTGGAACTCGAACAGTGTTAAAATCAACCCCCCCCCCCCCCCACACAATCCAGGGATGACCAACTACTTTTAACTGAGCAATTTCTTTGTAAGTGTTCTGCCTTTCCCCTTCATCATTAGAAGCATAAACAGCAGTAAGAAAAAAATGTCTCTATTCAAATCTTCTACCACACAGTGTATAAAATTCTTCCTAGGCTTAAGAACCTGGAGTTTAATTGCAGGATCCCAGAAAAGCCAGACCCGCCCCAACTTTGAGTCAAAACAATTTAAACATTTCTCCCATCCAGTAAACACCTCCTCCACTACTTCCTCAGCTTTAGTAGCCTGTATTCTAGTTTCTAGAACTGCAACCACATCAACTTTATTCCTACGCAGGACTTGCAACAAGTCCCTTTGCTTGGAGGTTTTATTAAATACCCTGACATTCCAGAAGAGCACAATCATTTCGAAGTTGTGTTTATCATTATTTTCATAAATGGAAAAGGATGCATGTTAATATTATCATTTAAAAAAATTAATTAGACTTGGTCTACGAAGTAGTGTCATAATATGAATCAGATACAAATGAAGATTTGTGGACAACTCAACTCTTCATAATGAACGAAGGGTTAGTCCCATTGGATAACACTTTGGTACAAGAAGAATCCTTCATGTACGGTGATCAATCCATTCATCATTTAAAGTGGAAGCTGCCTGAATTAGACTATAATGTTATCTATAAAATTATTATTGAACTTTATATCGTTAGTAATTGTTTTCCATTCAAAATCCATCGCTTAGTTTCTAGTACAGAATTTGAAACATTAGATGTCTCTTTAATTGACATGGAAAAATTAGGGACATGAATAAAAGGAAAAATAGTGAATATAATTATTTTCACATTGGATTAGTTCAAGTTGGACTAATCTCATTATTTAATTTGTCCATGTATAGTCCTATGATAGACAAAGTCCTTGATAAACGATGGAATGAATTCAAGGATCAGCTAATATTAGAAGTTCAAACTAACTTGGCACATGGCCTTGTTTGGTTCCAGGCCTACCCAAATATCTCATGGTCTTGGACAACAAGTTTCTAGTGAATTCATTAACTCTAAGAATGAAGTCCATAAAAATGGGTAGAATGAATCCTCGGCCAAATACTTGGCATATCATCGCCGATCTCCTGACCGAATTCCCGTTCACCATCGTCGTCGCCGCCGCCCAGTTGCTTCAGGCGAAATAGAGCTCCCATGTTCCGCTGCAGCATAAACAGAGGACCCAGAACTTGCCAGAGCAGAGGCCGGAATCGTCCCCAAGATCTCCAAATTGCTTATCTCATCCACCTGGATCTCGACTTTGTGAAACGACGAGATGTTCCATTTTGGCTCTGCTTCTTCTTCCTTCATCTTATCCCTCTTAGGCCGAGCTCTGAATCAGACAATTCGTGCTTGAAGTTCATGTAGCTCGCGAATAGAAGCCAGGCTAGAGTGAGGACCAGAGCGACTGCAGCAGCAGTGAACAATGCGAGCTTTAATGATCTAGAGCTCTCCCCTTCTCCTTGAAATAATTGCCGCCGAGTTCCACTTCCGCAGCGAGAAGGAAAAAATCAGGTTGAATTATAATTTATAATTATAATGATTCTTTGTTTTATATATTTTATTTTATTTTATTATGATAATGAGGTGGCCCTTTTAAAATATTAATTTTTAATTTTTCTGATTTTTTAATTGCCATGTCATTTATTTAACGGTCAACTCTCGGAGTTGACTGTCACGTCAGATAAAGTTAACGGAGACTAATGGCCAGTGACCAAACTTGAACTGTTATACTAATTTTAGTGACTACGAATGGAATAAATTAATTTTATTGGAAAATATGAAATTTTTAAGCAATTCCAGTGACCAAACTTGCAATTAAGCCGGGTCACAAGTGTAGGATTATGCGCAAAAATGAGCGATCACAACCAAAAGCAAGAAGATCACGACCAAGAAGAGAGTGCATGAAGTTGAGCACGTAGATTGCGCCCTCCGGTGCTGAAATCGCGACCGCGAAGATTGGAGTCAGCACGAACTTTAGAAGCAGCCACCAAGTGTGGACTAGAGAGTTTCGTCAGTCGACTCGTGACTCTTCTTATCCATGCTCGCGGTAAAGATCGTGACCGTGACATCCTGGATCGCGATCGTGAGGTCAGGCAACCTCCGAGCATGGCGTAAAAGGGCGATCTCCGATATCACAACCTCTCCTCCAAAGATCATGCCCACGATCTTCTCCTCTTCAGGCGTGAATTTGCTTGACAGCCTGAACTCTATAAATATGGGATCCCTTCCCCTTCACAAGGGAGCTGAAATCACTTGAAAATTTCAGAGACCAAGAAACCGTACCGGACCGGCCGGTCGGACCGGGAAAACCGGAAACCGGAGCTGAAACGGCCCAATAAGGGCTTTGTACCCTCCAGAATCATGCCGGCCGGTATTTTCGGTTGGACCACAATGGGCCGGAATTTCGGCCGGTTTTAATAACAACACCGGTCCGCTTCATTTTACTAAACGGCGCCGTTTCGACGCAAAGTAAAAAAAAAAAAAAAACGGAAAGCATTAAGCAGAGGAGAAACCCTACCTTCGTCTCTGCTCGTCTCTGATTCTCTCTGTCTCTCGTCTCCCTCCTCTGCTCGCGCCGCTCTGCCAGTCTGCCTGTCATCACCCGGCGCCGGGCCGCCCGCCGCTCTGCCTGTCGTCTCCCCGCGCCGCACCGCCGCTCTGCCTGTCGTCTCCCCGCCCCGCGCCGCGCCGCGCCGCTCTGCCTCTCGAACTCCCGGCGACAGCGTCCTCCCCAGCAAGGCAGCAACCAAACAGCCGGCGACTCGTCCTCCCCACTCCCCAGCAACCGAAGACGACGATGAGGACGATCCCGTCTCCCCCAAATCCGGTTGCTGCCGCGGTTAGTAATTTCTTCAATTTTTCCCCGCTTCAATTTTCCAGTTGCTGCCGCGGGAACAACTGGAATTAATTTCTTCGACAGCGAAATCATCGCCTCCGTTGGCGCTGCAAGCAATTGGTTCCGTATTCCAAAGGTAATTTTTCACAGAATCGATGGATCTTCTTCTTTATATCTTTGGATTTGGATTGTTCTTTCTGCTGTTTTAATTGCCGCCTTTCTCAAATTTCTTGCCCATCCGAATGAAATTTTTTGTGATTAGGCTGATAAGTTGAAATCATTTTGTTGTGGGGTTGTTGATAATCACAGTGGGAATGAGTAAGTATGGTTTAAACCTGCGGTATAATCCGGTTTTACTCCGGTATTTTCCCGGTATGGTACCCTAATTTTGCCGGTACGGTTTTTTAATAAAAAAATAAATTTTTTATTCCAAAAACGGTATTTACCGGTAGGAAACGGTTGAACCATGGTTGTACCACGATTTACCATGCCAAAGACGATTCCGGTTTGATGTCCGGTACGGTTTCGTAATCCATGGAAAATTTTCGGTTTTGAGAGAGAAGCTGAAGGTAGGCGGGGCCAAGTAGCAAGGAAGCTCTCCCCCAACTCAAGTCTTCTTCTAATTCTTCCTATGTATCTTTTCCCCCCCCCCCCCCCCCCTTTATGGGGTGGTTTTCTAAGGTATTAGGGGTTTAATCCCCAAACCTTAGAATTAGGTTTTTGAATGTAGATGGAATTTTGTTAGGGTTTGTGTATGGAATTTGTTTGTCTAATGATTATATGCTTCATCTATGATTAATTACGCATGGGATTGTCTCACCAACTCTTTTCATAGGAGCCCACCGCTTAGCAGTGCATGATCTAGACTGATTTAGGAACCTGATTGGTGGACAAGGTGACCATCCCTTGCCAATCGGGAAGCTCTCCTAGGCAAAGCTAGAGTAATGTGTGCGTGACCATCGATATGTCGTTGTAGTGTGAAGATAGGTTGAACTTATTGGAAGGGTCTAGAGTGAATCCTTAGTATCGTGAACCTGATTGAGGTGACATTTGGTCATCATATTGTACTAGGAGGGGGGGGGGGGGGGGGGGGCTAGTTGCATGATTATTGAGCTAGTCCCCACTTTAGCAAGTCTCACATCCTATTTCCTCAAACCCGGCATTATGAACCATTTACATTGTAGACCTAAATCTAGGGCGAGGGCGATAGCCCGATGTATATGCTTTTATCTTTGCTTTCTCCACCAGTACTTTCCATTTTACCTCCAAAACAATCCTAAACCGAACGATTAGATAACAACAAAGTGAGAAGTAGCCTAGTGTATCGAAACCCGTGGAATACGACCTTGATCGACCACTATATTGACAACGTCATCTCGAGTTGTACTTGACTCAAAATGGGTTAGTTAATACAAGCCGTGCAATCGATTCAATAACTCGCACATGGATCACTCTAGGTAGGTTGGTCTCAAATGATGGATTTCAAAGTACATGATTAATTCGCGCCTAAAGTGGTCAAATTTTCTAGTATGTGGAGTCCACTGATTTGGACCCTCAAAGTCCGAGGGTTCCCTGGATTTGTTGCCACTAAATACATGAAGCAAACAATAAAGTTTGGACAAAGTCCATAATGAATCCAAATCAATCTTCAAATCCAACACCAAATCCATCAAGCAAACAATTGTTAGAGTTGTTGGATATAATTACCACAATTATGGTGAGATGTTTCTTCGCTTTTTACAGATTTACACTCTTGATTTCCAGTTAGTGGATGAGTAATTAGACCATTTAAACTTTCGGCTGATAATTTTAGCAAATGAACCAGAATAACATGTATATGGTACCTTCGATCTTATCTCCCTTATATTCTACTCCAGTTAACTTTTAACATGATTATCTTGCTAATGATTTGCTTAATATGTCCATCAACACCACCCAACTGTTCAATCACTACTCCACATCACATACCAGTAAGTCTCGTAAACTAAACTAATAACAAAAAGCATTTCATCATCCTACTAAAACGCTAGAACTAATATTGTCGAAGTTGTCAACCTACTCTAAAACCCATAATTTTCACAACTGTTTTCGAACATAAAAGCTTGAGAATACTGAAACAACTTGCAGATGCAACTTGCTGCCACAAACTCCGGAGAGGATGATGTCACTTCTCGGCAGGAAACACCGCGACTTCCAGCACAGGCTCCACCGGAGAAACCAGCTGGAACAGACACACATCCCCGACTCCCAAACCATTGTCATTACTGAATCCCTTCCAACCTCTATCCATACAACGCATCTGCGTTCCCTGAACCCTGTTCAAATTCACATCCCATTGCTTCTTCCCCTGCTGCACTTGGAGCTTCACACTCGTCCATCCATCTTCGATGTGCTCTGCCACAAATGCACTCGGCATGGACTGCCAAAATTGCAACAAACCACAAAAAAGTAATCAACAAAAAAAAAAAAACACCAAGACCAAGATCTAGAACTGAAGTTTTACTTTAGTTCCACTTACAACCATGCTCTTCCCTTTAATCAGAGCACAAGTCATCAGCATCAGGAAACAAGGGCGATTGTGCGGCTTGCACAGAATAGCTTCCTCTACTCCCTTCTTCGAATTCTTCCAAAACTTGGATATTGTTCGAGCAAACTTACGACCCTTGGCGATGCCACTTTCATTCACACGCTTCAACAATGTCTCCACCTCCCCTGTTTTCAAACAGCTCCAGAAAAATAAGTTCTTTTTTTTTTCTCAATCTGAGGAGGGATTTCTACTTCGCCTAGGAACAATAAGCTAAACCTAAAACCTTACCAGCCTGGCTGCCATCTTCTTCTTCAGGGCTCACAACTTGATTGGGTGAAACTGCTTGAGCTCTGCCTCTACCACTCTGCTCGCTGCTGTTACCGGAGGGAAGAGGGTAGCTGATAGAGCAACAGCTGAGGTCAAAGATCTTCACTTTGAACTCCGAGCTGCCAAGGTACTGAAAGACGAGGAAGAAGCCGATGGAGATCGAATGGCGGTCCACAAATCGAGCCCAGTTCTCGCTAAACCAAGCTGAGCGGCCATCCGGTCCTTTGTTGACGCCGATCTTCCAAACGGAGCCGTCGGGCAGGTTGAACGTGGCCGTAGAAGAGAGGTCGGACCCATACATCACCACAAACTTCAGGGGCAGATCCTGCAAAGTGTTTACAAGTTGAAAGAAAGAAACACCAAATCCGAAAATGAGTTTCCGGAGGAACAAATTTCTATTTGGCGAGGTCTGAAATAACTGAAGATATTTCTCATGAGGAATCAGCTCACCATTTCCTTTTCGTACGGAAAGCAGGGGAGGATGACTCGGAAAAATCCAGCAGGATGGCGGTTGACTTGGAGAGCAGCAGCCATTGTTGTTCTTCCGGTTGCTCTGTGGAACTAGGGAAGGAGAAGAGAGGTTTCACAAACAGAGGACAATGGCGGCTTGGGAAGAAAAGGAGGATAGCTTTAACTTTTACTCTGAACCACCTTGTCGATTATAAGGAGGCTCCATAATTGCTCTGTTTTTGTCCTTTTAGCTTTTATTTTTGTGTTGCAGGATATGTATGTCCTTTTCCCCCCTCAGGCCCTCACTGTCTCACAGCTAGCTTAGGTAGTCCAGTTTGGGCAACTCACAGTTCTGCTTTATGAAGCCTGTGCCTTTCTTCTTACCGTTTTAGGAATGTTGAATTCGTGGTACTCCAGTCTTTGTGCCTCACATTTGAATTATGTTCCCTCCTTTTCTTCTTTTGGGCTTTCTTTGCGAAGGATAAAATCTCAGCTGCAGGTCAGAGAATCATAATAAGAGGGGTTTATATGCTTAAATACAGGATTAGCAAAAATAAATTCTCACAATACAATACTTTGCAACAAATTTCTCAAAATACAAGAATTTGGAGCAGTTTGTTCTAATGTCAAGCGAACTAGGTAGTGCTTCTTTTGATATTGGAGCGATATGAGAATCCAGAGACGAATAAGGATTCAAACGAGAATTAGGGATTTTGACTTTAAGAGATGAAATCTGTTTGGAAAAGAGAAGACTAGAAACCAAAGAACTTTAGCTAAATACACTTTCATAGCCGTAACTTTGCACTTTGTGACACTAATAGCCAAATTTTAAAAAAGTATACTAAAATAGCCATTTCGTCCATAACTTTAACGGAAATATCAAGGATGCTGACTAGACTAACGTTTTTTTGTGGCATTTTTTTTTTCAAACAATACCAGATAGAAATGATCATTTTCTTATTATTATCAAATGAAAAAAACAAATAAATAAAAATAAAATTTATGTCATCATCAGCAGCGTACTAGCGAAACCCTTCCCTTCCCCTGGTTCTCTCGCCCTCTAATCTTGCCACCGACATGGACTGGTTCTCTAATCCGTTCGACGGCCAACGGAAACCATAAAATATCAAATCACACCCTTTCACAACCGGTTTTCCCTATCCTATCGAGCTTCCCTTGAATCACACTAACGAGAAACAAGAACCCAGAACATAGCAAATCAAAGCCATCAGAGGGATATTCAGAGAACTGGGTTACTTCGAGATGGGTTTCGAGAGATGGATTCAAGATAGAGTGAGAGTCAACCTGCCCAACCAATCCATCATCCATTTGATTTGCTTGTCGCTCTCTCTACTGAATCTGCTCACCTCTCCTTCTTCTCTGATTTGTCTATCCCTCTCCCCAACTTCGAGCTACTGGGTACCAGTAAGGGAGGTCGGATCCTGAGATTAGGGTCTGGTAAGGAAGAGAAGGAGGGAAATAAGGTCACCAGATCTGCAAGGTTGGTCGGTTTCGCGCAAGGGAAATAGAAGGGAGGAGGAAGTTGCTACGGAATCGCTTGAGAAAAGGGAGGGATCGGAGTTGAATGCAGCGTATTTACGTGAGACAAGGGAAATGGTTTTTCTGGTTTTGGGTCGTCGTTTGGGGGTGGGTGGGGGGTTGAAGACGAGAAAAGCAGTTTTATCACCTAGCGTATCCGCTTGAGCCTGGGGCGGATTCGCCTTTCATTGCCTAGCGGATCCATCAGAGTCTGGGGCGGGTTCGCGTTGGGTATGGCTATTTTGCCTGCTCACACGGATTCGCCTTCTCCTCCCTTCAAAACACAATATTCATGTAAATACTTTTTTAAAAACCAAAGATAGATTGCATTGTCAAGAGAAATAGATCAAACATTTACATCTCCGTACGAAGCCAAGTGGAAAAATTAAAGCCTAACACATAACTAGCTGAGAATACGAGGGTCTTCCTTGCCACCAAGTGGGCAACCCTGTTGTTTAGTCTACCAACGAACCGAACTAGCAAACCCGGGTACATAACCATGAATGTCTTTATCTCCCGGAAAAGCGCACCACCCTTCTTGTAAATACTTTTTAATCCACTATATTTGTGGTAAATAAAAAAATAATATTTAGGAGATTTATCCAAAATAATGGAGTAATAGAGGGTTGGAGTCGATGATCGAGGGATTTAGATTTAGTTTTCTTTTAATATAATATAATATAATATTTTTAGTATTAATATATATGACAAAATAATATATGGTACTTTTTTTATAAAGGTAATGTCATTTTATTATTACTAAAAGAAAAAAGCCAAAAGCAGAGTTACAAGTAGGGGTGAGTATCGGTCTATTCGGTCCAAGATCGGACCAAACTATCCTCAGACCGGAACAAAATGTCTTCTAAATCAAGGACCAAAGTCGAATCGTTATTACTTTGATTCGGTCTGGATCAAACCATATATGGCTCGATTCGGTCTGGACCATCCTATTGGACCGACTAATCTTTCATTCAAATAAAATCACTCTGGAAGGACAACACAAGAATTAAAAAAATGTAACTACATAAATAGAAGTAATCAAATTATCCCAATTTAAATACTCCACAATTCTTAAAACCCATATGTTCCAAAATATTATGCAAAAAGCTAAACGAGAACTACTTAACTAAAAGACAAAAGTCTTTTTATTCAATCTCAAAGGTAGTCTAAATAATTGCCTCTCTAATCTTTCATTTTCATTTCCAGAGTGCACGTTGGACCTCCCAATCTCAAGAATTTTCATTGTTCATTAGAGAGCCTTTCTACTGCAATATAAGCACATGATATAAGGCATTAGAAAGGAGTTTAACAAAGTGACACTTACTTCAAGAACTAGTGCAATAAAACAAATGATTATTAACCTTTGCTAATTTGTAGTGGTGTTGTCAGACTTGGCATAAGTCTCTGTGGTGTCATTTATTCGCATTTTCTCCATTTCTGAAACATTAAACAAGAAAAGAGAACACAATATAAATACCTGGTTCACAGTGTGTAGATAAAGTAAGCAGCTCTCTTGATCGAAACAACGCGGCGAGTCAAAGTCAGGGAAAGTCAATCATATTTATAGGTAGTTAAGTGTCGTGTAGGGTACTAGAGTTTTCAACTCCAAGTCGACTTGCCTTCTCAGAGCCTAATAAAATAGACAATTAATTTAATTACGATTCGGTCCGATCCTTAGCTTGATTTTATGATTCCGGTCTTGACCGAACCAAAATTGAAAATGTCCCAATTTCAAGAACCAAAGTCGAATCGAAAGATAAACAGTTCGATCCGATTTGGTGTGAGAGTCGATTCGATCCGATGTGAATCGAATCGTTGCCCACCCCTAGTTACGAGGATTCTGCAAACAAAAACCAGAACGGTAAAGGAAAAGGAAATTTGCAGAACCTACGTATACTTATTACATACAAGGAGAGGCAATCTGGAGACCCATGTGAACCATTCAAAGTTTCAAACACATTTCTACTACACTCTCCTCAACAGCTTTGCTTGGTTTTGCGTTTAAACATTGACAAACTTCTCTTTAGACCGAGCATCCATTATTCTGCTATTGTTTTGTCAACTTTTTCTGCAGTCCTCAGCCACTCAGCAACCATTCTGAGAAGCGTCACTAATTGACACTTGGTCTTCGAAGACTCTATTGTTCCTTTCCCGCCAGACAGCCCAACAAACAGCGTGCAAAATAATATATGGTACTTGAAATTAAATCACAAGTCGTTGATGTATTTCTACTTAAAACAATTTTCCTATAAGTGCACAATAGAATGACTTTTCTATATATCCGGGTTAAACTGAAATTAAACTGAACTAAACAATCTGATTATTAACGCTCCACCCACTTGCTTAACTAGAATACAGCTTAACACGAGATCTATGAACTAAGTGGGAAACTATAAAAAAAAAAAGGTAAAACCTATTATAGTAAAAACCATTGAACCAACGAAATGATAGTTTGAGAAAAAGTTATGGAAACAAACCACTACAAAGTAGTATTAGTACAAACTCCAATCCTACTGATTCTTCTTGTTCATCCAAGCCCTAAGAATATGAACATTAAAGATCTTTCGCTTCTTATCAATCAGCTCGAACAAACATACGTCTCCCACAACCAATTCATTGTCCGCGCGAAACCCAGGCCACCGTCTGAAATACAAAGTCTCTGTTTTTTCGCTTCTCCATCTCGCATCAGCACGCCATTCACCCACACGTCTCTTCTTCCCCTCATAAGCACACAACGTTACCCCTTGTGACTCTGCGGGAAAGTACTTCCTGGCGAACTTACCGGGCAGGCTCTACACACAGAGTAACAACAACAACAACAACAAAAAAAAAACAACAGACTCACAATGTTTGTTTACTACAACATAAACAATGAACAAGCCGCGGTTTGATTCTTTTGCAAGTGAGAATGAATTTTTCATACCAGGATTCCAGGAGAAACGTGAGATTTCATCATGACGATGAGTACAGAAGGGTTCTTTGGGTCGTGGCAATCGATGGCTTTCTTCACCGATTTCTTACTCTCTGGAGGCAACTCGAGGAAACTGGTACTGAACTTGGTGGACGTCTCGATTCCCGATGCCAGCAGCCGCCTAAACAAATCCCCGACCCGCCCTGAAGCAGTTCGAGCGAGTCGTTCCGCTGCGGTGAGCGGGAGGTTTGAGTGCAGGCGCGTGGAAGACTGCAACATATCAGATCACTAACGAATTTCAGAACCGGGGAAACACAGAGAACGAAAACCGGAAACAAGAATCAAACCGCTATGGCGAAAGCATCCGACCATGGAATAGAGGGAACCGCCGTTGCGGTAAGGTTCGACTGAAGGCTTGAGAGCGGAGGAGAGCTTCTGGAGAGCCATCATCGCCATTGCCAGTCTGTATTCTCCCTCTCTCTCGCCGTCTAGCTCGCAGCTCGTGTGCTAAGGTTTAATTTCGTATTCTATTTGGCAACTAGTTTCATCCGGCCGGAATAGTTAGATTTATACTTTTAAATATCTTGTAATATCTATTTTCTCCATATCTATGACAAAAAAAAAAAAAGAATAATTTATATTTTGATTTAAGATTTTTTTTGTTTTTTTTTGTTTTTTTGGAATTCTCAATTCAATCTTATTAAAAGATTTAGATTCCTAGCTACACAAAATCATATGATCACTCGAATAAATGCAGGAATTCGTGAGAATATGGTATCTTCAAGTTATAGTAGATTAATAAATAATTTGTATAAGGGACAATTGCTTCTTAATCGTAAAATACTTGCATAAATAACTATATTAAATAGGAATTGTCTTTATATGATTTCTAAAATCATATATATATATATATATATAGTGGGTATTGTGGCAGGATAAGGGATTTAGAAGCGGACCTTCGAATCGCTTGGACAGATAAAAAAATTTATTGGAAACAGAAATGCAGGGTGCAGTTTGGAAACAAGAACATGTCCTACTTTCATTTGGTGACTCGATCACGTAGAAAGAGAAATTTTATCTCAGGATTATTTGCACCAGATGATTCGTGGGTGGCGGAGGAAGATGGAAAGGTCGTAGTTGCCAGTGACTTCTACTCCTCATTATTTACTACTGATGGGATGGACGCCCAATTTGTCAAAGAACAGGTTCAGAATTTGCCGATTGAGGAGAAAGTGACTGCTACAATGAATGCTAAGGTATCAACAAAGATCTCACCGGTAGAAATCTGTACGACTGTCTTTCAGGTTGGGGCTACTCATGCTCTTGGCTCAGATAGCTTCACTGGGGTCTTCTTCATAAAGTTTTAGGATATAGTTGGTATGGATATTACGGAGGCGGTGGCTCACTTCTTTGAAATTGGGAGCATATTAAAGAATTTGAACAATACTTGGCTGGTCTTAATTCCTAAAGTGGATAATGTTGAACATATGAACTAACTTCGACCGATTAGTCTCGGTCAGTTTATGTACAAGGTGATATCGAGAATTTTGGAGGAAAGGCTATCTCGCTACCTTTCTGCCATTGTTTCTCCTGGCTAGAATGCATTTGTGCCTGGGAGACAGATTGTTGATAACGTCCTCATTGATCACGAGGTCATGCATTATCTGCGGAATAAGCGGGAAGGAAAACAATTAGAAGCAGCTTTTGGTTGGAGCTTTTGCATTATCTGCGGTAATTTTTGTAGAAGCAGCTTCTGGCTGTAGCTTTTGAAGTACTTTTCAAAAAAAGTAGTTGAGTGTTTGGCTAAAAGACTATTAGAAGTGCTTTTTAATATAAGAGGTTATGTAAAATGACTATAAAGGATTTATAATATAAAATATGAATAAAAACTCTAAATAATACAAAGTATTCAATATGTATCTTCTAAAATAAAATGACATTAAATAATATGATATTTTATTTTATTTTTAAAATGACATTAATGAAAGAATCTTGTATTTTCAAAATAACTTTTCGCAGAAGCTCCAATTTGGAGCTTCTGCTTTTATATTATACAAAAGCAATTTTCAACTTTTCAAAAATCGAGCTTTTAGAGGTGTTTGATCATGTTTCATCTTTTCAACCCGAAAAGCATTTCTAAAAGCAGGGCCAAACATAGACATAGTACAATAGAATTGGGAGAGAAGTTATCTAATGGTCATTAATGCGAAGGATAGTTTTTTCATAATTTCATTTTAAAAACCACTTTGATTTTGTGTTGTCGGTTCCATTCTAAGTTGTGTGTTCTCTTTCTCTTTCCTTATATGAGTATAACATTCATATTTTCATTTTGATTGTCTTTCATATTTCCTTCCTGCCGATCAGACTTTTATAAAAAAAAATTAGATTTGGTGGATCTTCGCGTTTAAAGAAAGCCTTGCCTTTGTGAAAGTCTTCCGAGGGACGATTTCTCCTCGAGATATAACAAAGTAGTCTATGTTTTTTCTTTGAGTTTCTTCTTTTGTATTTGGAGTAGAGGTAAAGTCTTCATCGTAAAGTCTTTATATAGGAAAAAATACACATGATAAGCTTTTGTTAGCTTTATCAATCATTCGTGATACAATCTTATATTTGGAAGATTTTGGTTGTAAATTAAATACGTTAGTAGTTCAAACTATCAGGAATATCAATCTATATGTACCAAAAAATTATTCATGATTTAGTTAGTCGTTCGCTTTCAAATGGTGTTCTTTGTTAAGAACCATTTAGTATTGATAACTCGAGTTGTTGAGAGGTTTAATAATGAATTTAATACCAAGCAATTATTCATTATTTAATTAGTCATTCACTTTCAAATGATTTTGTTTATCAAAATTGTTTAGTATCAAGAACCCGAGTTATTGGGAAAGGTTCAATAATATATCTAATACCATTTACAATATACCCCTCATAAGAAAGTTAACTTATATAGAATTGAAGTTTGTACAAATTTGAATATTATATGTTTAATAAATATAGTTGCCAAGATTCGAATATAAGTTTATCGATCAACTATTCTCAATTAGACGCACCCTAATATTCTATATCAATTAACTGTTGTAGTAATTAAACTATTTTTCTTCCGAGCCAGGGTCGGTCCCGAGACCCATCCTCTAACACTCTCCTTTCGCCCATGGTTCCTATTAGTTTCATTTGTGATCATAATCGGTTTTGATTTATGGTTTTGGAATTCAGGTTCTATATTTTGTCATTGCATTATTTAAATGTTTTAGTTGTTTTCATTTTTGTTGTATTGTAAATGGATGGATTATACGCTAAATTTACATATTCAAAGTGAAGTTTTTACATATTCAAAGTGCAGTTGTTGATTTGGATGCATGAGCATCTTCTGAGTTGTGTTGAAACTTGCAAGGCATTGATTTTTTCCAATGATTGTGATATTAATGGTGGTGAGATTGTGATATTAGGGGTGAATCCTTGTGATACTATGTTAATATGACTATGATATTATGTTGATACGACTGGTATGATTGGGATATTGTGCTCGTATGATTCTAATATTTTTTATGGAATTATTGTAATATTATGCTCGTATGAGTCTGATATTGTTTTTTGATTGATTGTGATATTATGCTCGTATGATTCTAATATTGTTTTTTGGTATGATAATGGTATTATGGTGGTATGGTTGTTTTTTCCTCTTTTACACAAGTTATATCATTAGGGGTAAGGTAGTAATATTTTGATGTACGGGTCAGAGTCGTGGCTATCAACTTCTTGCGATTTGGGTAGGTAATATCGCAGGCGGTGCTGTCGCAAATAATCACATGGAAATGGGAGTTGTCGTTGTCGTTGTATTTGAATACCACGACATACTCTTCGGTGACGATAGAGAAAAAATGGAGGAAGTCCTCAAATCTAGAGTCGAGCCACGCCCTATTTTCATTTTTTGACTCTCTGGTCAACCCAACCTTCCAAACTATGCCGTTTGGTGCTTCCAATTGCACCTCATGAAAAATTCTTCTTTGAAAGTCTTGGCAAACTTATTAGGAAGCATTTGTAGCGTCCATTGTATAAGGGACGGGAAAACAGAGCATAAACTTAGGTGGGGGATTTCCTTGAAAGATGAACCGAAACATACCGGTTCTTTGGGTAAAAGAAAGAAAAACGGTTTACAAGTTTCTTGTTCTAGACAGCTTCTAGACGTATCACCTTGAAGAAATGCTGAAAGACAAAAGGTTCTCGTTAACTCCGGCAAAGTTCTCACCGTTAAAAACCATTTTCCTAGATGATATCTTTTCCCCAGAAGTAGAAACATTAGCAGAAGAATGGAAAGCATGGAAGAAGAAAGGAGGATAAGATTAATGAGAGCTTGTTTGGTTAAAAAGGAAGGAGGCTTTACTCTTTTCTTCCTTTTTGCCTCTTCTCATCATTTTTAAGGGACTTTAGAGTTCTTCAGCGTTCTAAAGTCTTGAGAGAGAGAAGATTAGACCTTTGGCATTAATTTGGCCAAGTTTTCGACTCAGTATTATCAACCTTTTACTACTTTGCAAGTTTTATGAACATTTTCAGCAAGCTAGGAATTAAGTTTGTACATAGGCGAATCAATCTTCTGCAAGCGAAAAATCAAAAGGTTGTCAATTTTTTCTATCACTTGTTCTGTCAAATTTATTGTTTCCTGCGATAAGCGTTGTGCTCCCATTGTTTTTCAATTACCAACCAACTAAGTGCCCACATCCTAGCACTATAGAGAGGTCGTTTGCTATTGGGATTTTGATCAAGGATTTTGGGCTAAAAACCCACACTTATGGGATTATGGACAAAGTCCATGTTTGTTGCAAAAATTGTGTTGGATTAGTTCTTGTGGGACCCATGCATAAGGGATTATAGTGGGATCAAAATCCGTGGGGTCCACGGATTATAAAATCCTACCTCTTTAGGTGGAATTTTGGGAAGGGTCATAATCCATGAAAGCAAATGACAAAAGTAACCTTATATATTTTCAATATTCCGATGTTGCCCTCATTATTTGTAGGGTTTGACAAGCAACCTCCATCACATTCCCGTTTGTGTACCGTATGAAGCTTCCTCCGTCTCCCATTCTCGAGTGAAGTAGTTACTGCAACTTTTGACATGTTTTTGTTATGAAGTAGCTACTACAAATTTCTGTTGTCGTTATTGTAAGTTACAAATTTCTATTAGCAGCTACTGCAAATTTGCGTTACCTGCTGAAAGTTATCATCATTATAAGTTTTGAACACATTTGAGGTTGCTTAGTAGCTGCTGCAAGTTTGTGTAAGATGATGCAATTTTTTATTTAGTCCATACAAATTTAGTTAGCTAGCCACAAGGAACAAGTGGTGTTGGCGGAGTAAGCTGTAAAATAAACTTGGAAGGAGATGGAGAAGGTAATGGCGGAGGGCAGTGGCTTTTGTTCTTCTCTTGGAGATGGTAGTTAACAAGGATAAAGTTGTAAATTCAACCTTTAACTAATCAATTACAAAGACATAAATCCAATACAAAATCCATGACGCAAACAAGTACTTTTGCAAATCCAACACAAA